CAAAATCCCATCACTAAGAGATTTTCTTAGGCAGGAGCAGCTTCATTTTTGCCCCCCCTTAACAACAGCATGTACAGCGTATCAAGCAGCCATTTATATTCTAAACTGAACAGTAATGCCATGGGGTTTGGGCACTTTCTCTGCTTTGCAAGTACCACATGAGAAAAGAGAAACAACAACATATGAAATGGTAAACCATGCACCATGCAATCACATTTCAGAGGAAATCATTTGCACTCAGTGATCTGCCAGAACTGCAAGGACACCAAAAGTTTGTCTCCTCTGGGCTCAAAACATACTCCTCCACCCCATGACTCCCACCAAATGCAGCACGTTCCTGCCTTGCAAGACATGAACCTAATGCAGAAGGTCGACTCCCCTCAAGGAGATTTCTGAGCAGCAGACATCAGGCACTGGTGAACAAAGACATAGCTGCTCTGGTCTCTGCTGGAGGTGACAGTAGAAGGCCTGGTGTTGTCCCCAAGAACCTCCAGAGGTCAAAAGGAAAACTCATCATTGAATGTACGTTTCTCCCAGACATGCAGTATCTGAATGAAAGTGACAAAACCTCAATGGCAAAATGTTCAACAAAGGTCAGATCTTGCCCTGCCTCTCACTTCCTCCCCTCCCTGCTCACACTGTCACAGCAAGATCATGCACCATGTTGGAAGCCCCAAGCAAGAGCATCACAATCACCCAGAGAGGGCTCTGTTATGGTGCTAGAAGCCAGCTCCAGCACCAGGCACACTCCCTGCAGGCTCAGGCCTGGGAACAGAAGAGCAGAGAACCCTGACAGAGCACCAGGGGCACAAATGAGGAGGAATGAGGGGAAAAAAACAGCACTTAGGGCTGATCAGGGCTTTGCAGCCAATGCCAATGTAAATTGCACTCAGGGCAGAGGGCAGTTCTCGCTCCAGCTGTAAACGTCCAGGAACAAGAACTGCTTTTTTGTCCTTTTGCAAAGCATTTAACACATGCACACAGGGAACCTTAGCCAGATAGAGGGCTGCGAGGCAGTGGCAGGCAGGAGAGAGAGCCTGTCATACAGCAGCATCGCTGATGTTTAGTGATGAACAGCAACATAAGATACAAGGTGGTCTTTCTTTCCACCTTCCAGTAAGCCCGTTGGATCGTGTTAGCCGCCTGCTTCTTACCAGACTTTACAGTTCCCCCTCACCACTGCTCAATTCCATCATGCCATCACTTAACTTGTGCATGTAATTTAAAGCCAGATAGACAGCAGGAAAATTGCTTCCTCTGAGGCCCCTACTAATTGACCCCTATCCACAGAGCTCAGCAGTCTTCCCTTAACAGCGCTCGCACGTGCTACCGCAACACAAAGTGCAAGTTCCGAGGTTGCCAGCACAGCCTCTCTCCCCCGTGACAATGCCATATGGTGTTACGATTTTCTGGATCAGACACTGTTCCTGCTGAAATCAATCATCACAACCTATCCCTAGAGAAGGCCATCTCAAAATCCCACAGGCTTGAAGCACAGCTCAGCGAAGTGCCTCAAATTTGGAGGCTGGTATTGACTCAATCAGGCTGGCATGCAAACGTTCACTTTAATAGCGCACATATCAATTAGCTGGGCTGTTACAAAGGGAGCAAGTGGTGCCCACTATGATGACAGCATGCCTAAACAGCTGATATTTCACATTTGGCAGGACCCTTCAGCCCCTGCCAATGCAAGTCAGCCTCTCTGCCTGAACTTGCTGTCATGCTAATGAAAATGAGCACTGGGGCAACTGAGATTCATACACTGAATGGGGTTCACTTAAAAGAGAGAAGGATGTCAACTACCGTCAGACACCTAGTCTTCATAACCTGCAGCAGAAGTTACAGATGTACACCAATCAGAGAAAAATAAGTAGTCTCTATGGGTAAATAAAGATTATGTCTCTTTAAACTGATTGTAAATCTGAATGAACACAGAATATACACACACAAGTAGGCAGCATGCAAAGTGACATCAATCTGATTTTTATAGATTTATTATTGCCGTACATAAAATTTCCTAATAATAATAACATTCTATGAAAAATACTAGAGCATTGGGACACTTTTAATGTGAAAACAGTACAAGAAAGTAGGAAAAAATAATTCAAGGTTTTTTTAAAAAATGCTGGGCGAGAAGCATTCCATGAAAAATGCAAGGGTCAGGAACTGGAAAGCATTTATGTGAATCTGTCTTCAACTCATATACTATCTTTGAGAGTTATATCCTAAGCCTTCGTTACACCAGTAGAAGAGTTTTAATGGAAAAAGAGAAAAATGGTTTCTGTGGGATCAGCCAGTTTACAGTTTATTGGTATTTTTCTAATTTTTCATTTGTTTTTAAACATGACTCCACCCCTTGCCATAAATCACCCCTGCACTTTGCAGCCACTGTCGAGCACAATTCACAAGTCATCTAAGTGTGTAGTGGAATGTGAGCCCCTCAATCCTTGACGCATATCCATGGGAGCGTGCCTACCGAGGTGCCAGCGGATCATCCACACAGAGCGGTGGATTCCCTGGGAGCACAGGCCAAATGAGTCACTCCAGCCACGCACTCCGCAGGGAGGCTGCCCTTGCCCACCCCCAACACCAACACCACTGCCGCAGGGCCCTCGTGGAGGCCCTGTCACCCTCTGACACCCTTCCAGATGGTGGCTGTACAGCCAGAGCACTGCTGCTGCACCTGTTCTGTAGGCAGCCCTTCTGTCACTTTATTAGTTAATTTAAATTTTTTATAAAGAAGAAAGAATACATAAGGAAAAAAACATGTAAGTAAGTTATTCTTCCTCTCCCACTGACAAACCAATTTGTCTAAAGAAATTAGCCACATCCTGTGACAAAAGTTTGTGATAGGCCGTGACCTGCAGAAAAGTGAAGCCTTACTGACATCTCTACAGCTGGAAAGAGAAGCCTGTTTCCTTCAACTCAGAGTACAGCAGAAGAGGAGCTTTTGTGTTTACGTATCTCACAGAGCACAAACAGGAGAGAGCAAGTGTGGGAAAGAACGAAGAAAAGAAGTGAAGGCAGGTGGCTCTGATAGCACATAAGTGGCTAATTAAACCATGGGTTTTACTAGTCGCAGTGATTAAACAATTTTAATGGGAGGCATTTTCATAGCACTCCTGAAAAGTTTTTAATACTACCGAACACCTTTGTCAGGAGCAAGGAAGTTCTGGAAATGTGCTCAAAGATGCACAGAAACCCATAGGAAGATCTGATAATGTACAAATTTGTTTCTTCCAGAGATAGCTCACTTTCTGCACAAATCGATAAACCATCAGAACCTATCATTTATCACAAACATTAAATCCCAGAAGCACCCTGGTTTGCAAGCCTAATGAGGGAACCTGGCACACAAAGGCACTCTCAGTGCTGGGCTGTATGGGGGGAATTCTCCACGCCTCTGGTTCAGGGAGTCTCTTTTAAGCTGTACTCACCATTAACAGACCAGGGTGTTAACTATCCTTGTTGCAAACTTGCTACAAAACCAACAAAGGCATATTATTGAGGAAAACATGAGCTGAAAACCCAGTCTAGTTTCTATCCCCTGGGAAGTCAATCCTGGTTCTTGTGCTAGCAATGCTGGGTCACCATTCACAAAAAAAAGAGCTAAAAGGATGCAGAGCTACAGATTAAAGTTTCAGCAAGGACAGTTCACTCTTGCAAGAAGGAATTAATTAGTTGTTTTGATGAGGCTGGTTAGGGAAGAGTTAATGCTATCAGCCAAATGTCAGTTAACCCCCAAATGTTGCTTTTGTCCCATGGCAATGTCAATACCAACACTATTATCTCAATTTATTTAACACAGAACAAATTAATTGGCTCTAAGTGTTGCTTTTTCGCTGGAATCCCTCATCCCATCTCTTCTTGGAAAGAGCTCCTACAAGCAATGAGCAAGGGAATAGACTGCTATGCAAACACACAGAGGCACAAACATACACAGAGCGAAGTTGCAATTTCTCACTTAGTTGCTGATTTCTGTGACTACAAATCTTGGTGTCACCCACCACACACTACTCCTCTGTACTACATCCATCATCCTCGACACCTTCAGACACATCTGAGATGTGTGTCGAACCAGCAACACTATAATTTTAATAATGACAAGGAATTAAGTATGATTACTAGTCTTTCCTCTTACTTGTTTCCTTCCCCTAACGATACCATCCAATTATCGTTTTCCTCACGGTTGTGTATTTTGGTTCCCATTGTCTGTCGTACCCAATACAATAACCGACATATCTGCAACACGGGATCTGTCTGTCTCTTGTACGTCTAGCAAATCTGAAAACCTGATGTTACAGCTTTGGGGAACACAATACATTGTCATTTCCGAGGAAACGTTGTAAAAATAACCGTACATACAGTTCAGTCAGAAATCAGTTCAGTCATACCTGTGCTATTCTTCCATTGTGTTTAATTCATCGCAAGCAGGTTATTTCATAAAAGACATTGCCAAAGAGATCATTTGGGTGTGTTTCACCTACTACTGAACTTCATGGCCCGTTGTCTGTCTGGGACAAACTGCTACCAACCAACCTAAAGATGAACTTGTCATTGCTCTCCCTGAACTTCTGACAGCAAGAGCCTGGTATTCAGCTAAAACTTTCCCCCTCCCACCTCCCCGTTCCTACAAACTGCCCTGAATCGTCATGATTGCCAATAATTTAAAAGGAGAAAAAAAAAAAAAGGAGGGGGGGGAGAGAGAGAGAGAGAAATTAAAAAAAAAAAAAAAAGAGAAAAAGGAACCAGAGAGCCAGCAGTCTTATGGAAACAGCACGGCAGGTAAACCAAGTTAGCATCGTTCCGTAACGGCCACGAGCTGGCGGGGCGGGGGCCGGTGCCCCCGGCCGTCCCTCCTCGGCCCGGGGCCGGGAGCCAGAGGCCGGGGCCCGGCTCGGCGGGGCGCCACGAAGGGCGGCGTTTCTCTTCCCTACGGGGCGGAGAGGGGAGGGCGGCGGGGCCGCGCCGCGGGGAGCCGCGCCCGCGGCGGGGCTCCCTCAGAGCCTGAAGGAGGCCTCGGAGAAGGGATGCTGCATCTTGAAGCTAGACAAGAAGCACTGGAGGGGCGGGGGCAGGGGGTTGAGGAGGGACGGCGGAAGGCTGGGGAAAAAGAAATCATCTCCTCTGACCTCTAACGAAGTGCCCGGTTTTTTCTTAAGCTCTTCACATTTCCTAAATTTGCAGATCTGGTGTCCCGTTTTGCGGTTCCTGCAACTGCTGCAGACTCCACAGTTGATGAGCCGCTTGCAGGGCACGCACACCCCGCAGCGTTTCCGTTTCTTCTTGGCGGGGTTGCCCGCCCCGGCCCCGGCCCCGCCGCCGGTACCGCCGGCCCCCCCTCCGCCTCCGCCGCCACCGCCTCCGCCGCCCCCCGCGCCGGCGGCGGCGCCCAGGGCGGAGGCGGGCGAGGCCGAGGCGTGGCTCTGAGGGCAGTCCGCCAGGTTGGCGATCTGGAAGGCGCTGTCTGTGACGGCGGCCGAGGCCGCGGCGGGGGAGTGCAGGGCCGTCATGACGATGACCCCGGGAGGCAGGGAGAGGCCGCCCAGCGCCGGGATGGCCGAGAAGGTGCCGACGCGGTCGGGGAGGTTCATGATCTCGGCTTCGGCGGCGCCGCACTTGAGCTTGTTCATGCACTCCCCGGCCAGCGGCCGGCAGTGCTCGGGGGCGAGGGTGGAGAGGAAGTTGCCATTGGCCATGGGCAGGGCGGGCTGCTCGGCCGGCGGGCAGCCGGGCTTGCCCAGCCGCTGCGAGTCACTCCGATGGTGCATGCCGCCCCTGCCGGCGTGCAGCGAGGAGGCGGCGGCGGCGGCGGCCGCGGAGGCGGCGGCGGCGGCGGCCGCGGAGGAGGAGGAGGAGGAGGGTTTCCTCGCGCCGCCCGCCGCGCCGCCGCCGCCGCCGCTGCCCCAGAGCATGGCGGTGGCGGCGGCGGCCGTGGCGGTGTCGCAGTTCCAGGGGGACATGCCGATGCGGGCGGCGGCGGCGGCGGCCGCGCTGGGGAAGATGGGGGTGGTGATGCGGGCGATCTTGGCCGCCTGGGGGAAGGCGCCGCCGTTGGTCTTGTAGAAGGTGGCGAAGGAGCGGTACCTCTCCATCTCCGAGTTGTAATCCACAAGGCTGTTGAGGGCCCCCTCGGGCAGGTGGCTGTCCTTGGGCAGCCCCGGCGCCTCGGGGTTGGGGCCACTTTCCACGCACACGTTGGTGTTCATGGTGGCCAGGGCAGGGGAGGCGGCAGGAAGGGACGGGACGGGGGGGCTGGGGACAGAGGGACGGGGCGGGGTGGGGGTCGCTTAATCCTCCTCCGGATGCATCCCCGCGGTCGGTTCTTGGCCGGGCAGCCGTTCCTCCGGCATCCTCACGGGAGCTGCCGCAGCTGAAACACAAAAAGTCATTTCCGAGGGGGTGCGCGCGGGCGGGGAACGCTCACGGCCGCCCACGGCCCCCCGGGGGAGGGGGGAGCATACACGAGTGGGGGGCACACGCCGCCGTACCCCCGGGCAGAGGGCTCGAAGCGCCGTCCCGGGTGGAGCAAGCCCGGTCCTGGGACAAGGCGGGGGTGGGGGACACGACACGGGGGCCAGGAGCTGCCCACCTACCAGCACCGGGAAAAATGAAGAGGCAGGGGAGAAAGAGAAATAAAAGGAATTAGAAAAAAAAAAAAAAAAAGAGGGAGGTGGGGGAGGGAGCCGCCAGCTGCCACGGTGTCCTTCTGAGCCCGGCGGTCATTAGCTGCCTGCCGGCACAGCTGGCTCCGCCGGGCGCTGGTTGCGGCGGCATCGGGTCCCCCGGCCCCTCCCGCCGGCTCCGGATACGGGGGGGGCTGCCTGCAGGCCGCGGGGGGCACAGGGCTAGGTTTAAAAAAAAAAAAAAAGTACTTAAGCAATTTCACAGCTTGTGATCCCGGCGCCTGCAGCTGTACTAACGACGGAGTATTTATCCCAGCCTCTCGGGGAGGATTCCCCGCCACCGCCGCCGGGTGCTGCGCAGGGGGGGCTGGGGACACACACACCGAGACGGGGACAGCCCCTCTGTGGGCGCAGCGGGGCAAGGGGCTTCGCCGAGAGACAGCGCTGGAATTCCCTGGAGGACAGGTCGCTGTACTTGCTGAACTAGCCCTCATCGGGGAAAGATGGCTTTCTGCTTCAGGCTAGGAAAGTTTAGGAGGGGGCTAAGGACACGGCGTCCCTTTTATTTCCCACCGCATCCTTTATCCCTCAGGGAGGTGAAGGGGCGTATTTTAGTCCATGGCAATGAGGAAGGTACATTATGGTAGCCTGTGCGAACTAAAGCAAAACATAAGCATAACTTAAAAAGCCCTCAGTTTATGAACACTGCCTCTTTGTTTTCCAGATGCTCTACCTGAATAGTTCAGATATTTCCAGCATCTTTTCTGATGTAGGGCTACCAGAAACGCTCACTCGTGAGGCACTCGTAGGGCTACGTCTAGTTTCCAGACTCCGGTATGTTTAGTTCAAAATGGTTATCAATTACGGTAATTACGATCATAATTAGATTAATGAACCGTTTGCAGCCCAACCTACCGAGTGCAAAAACTTCGTCTTCTCCCAACGTTGTGCACTGAAAGCGGGCTTTATGTAAACAAATCCAGATGAAGGGAGCGTAAATCTACAGAAGGGACCTCACCCCCGGCTGCCCTGGGGACTGGCGGGCGTCTTTCCGTCGGGGAAAAAAAAAAAAGTACCCCGAGCTCGCTCGCAGGAGCCACCTCTGTTTCCACGTCAGGAAACCCAGACTCTCGCTGCCTTCAGAGGTCTAGTGGCAATACAAAGGCTGCCCCGGAAAGCTCTAGGCTAAGCGTCGTCTTGTGGAGGGATGCGAAGGATTTGCTTACAGCAAAAGGAAAAAAAAAACCTTTCCCGTTTCCAGAAAGGAAAGCCTAGCTGCATGTCCTCGATAACAACTACTCGATAAAACTAGTTTTGCCAGCCATGTGTACCAAAGCCACGCATCTGGTAAGGAATAAAATGTTAGCGTTCAGCTTTTATGCCAGAAGTCATATGCATTTTCTTGCCCTATTCCCCCCAGCATTAAACTGGCTTCTCTCCACAAAACCTTCCCTCGCTGGCTACCTTTTTTCCCTCCGCGATCCCCTCTCAGGCTTTATTGCCACCAGCAGCGAGAAAATGATGGTGCCCACCAACCGGGTCATTATTGTTTAATCGATGCATCTCCGGAGCATGAAAAGGGTACCCGAGACGCAGTTATTGATTTCCCTCCCCCTCTAAACTATCTCCCTCTTTTCCACGAATGAAATAAATAAATAGAAATTGCTAGCCAGACTTTGCGATTCTGTCCCTGCTATAGCTAAATGTGACCGTACATGTTCAATATTGCATGTCTGCTCTGCCAAAGACAGAGAGATCAAAGGTCATATTTAACATTCAGGAGGAGGGGCGGGTGCATATTAATTAATAAATTAATATAGCGACGCCTTTTATTACCCACGTCTAGCATTAATCTACTTTTACGATCGCAGAGGACAAGAACAGGAAAAAAATAGCCCCAGACAAACCCACAAAATTAAATAAAAACCCAAACAACCCACCCCGCTAAAAAATCCCCACAACTAAATCCCAAAACCACACACACAAAACCAAAAAAAAAAAAAAAAAAAAAAAAAAA